TCTGTTCTGTTCTGTTCTGTTCTGTTCTGTTCTGTTCTGTTCTGTTCTGTTCTGTTCTGTTCTGTTCTGTTCTGTTCTGTTCTGTTCTGTTCTGTGCGCGCCGCCTCTACTGTCCAAAACTCTGCAAACCCCCCCAAGTAAGCCCTTGGGGGTCACCCACCTCTAATCTATTGGTTAATATGTTCTTCACAGACTGTCCATGCCCTAATACGCTAACACTCTAACGAGTCCAACCCGTCGGGGCACTCGCACTTTTGTTTATTCTAATGGTTATGCTCCTCTCAGACTGTGTTCAGTGGCCAGCAGATCATGCTCAGGTCAGGAAGTACTTAGTACTCTCAGTGGATCTCTCTCATCATGTGCTCAGTACCCTTTTTCTTTTTTTACAGCCTTGAGATATCACTATGATAATCGGACTGACTGGCTTCATTCAGCTGATTGAGAAATATTTTATTCTGTCCATAATATTTTATAGCTGTATCTGTCTGGTTTCTAACTTGGATCTGTATAATTTCAACAGCTCCTGTGCTCAGTACTTAGCATAGCGTCCCGTTTTCCAGCAGGTGCTGCTCCCCACCAATAGATCGGAGCCTTTTCTTTAAAAAAAAAAGTACTTAGCATAGCGTGCTTGTAATACTCCCACTACTCAGGGGACCCTGCTAAGTGTGCTTCATGTGCAGTTTCCTCGGTAGTACTAACTTAACCAGAGTACTAACCTGTGTGTACTCACCAGAGTACTTGGATCCGTCAGTACTTAACCTGAGTACTTAACCAGAGTACTTAACCAGAGTACTTAACCAGGCTACTTGGATCAGTTAGTACTTAACCAGAGTACTTAACCAAGCCAGGTAGTACTTACCAGAGTACTTAACCAGAGTACTAACTTGAGTGTTAACCTGGTTAGTACTACGACTCCAAGCTAGAGTCGTGGTTATTCGTGGTACTAACTAACCAAGTGTATTGAGTGTGCCCGTTAAATAAGCAGAGTACTATGCTTAATATCCCTCAGTACTCGGTGATTCTGCTAAGCATGCTTCATGTGCTCTTATGTGCAGTACTAACCAAGGAAACTCAGCGTGCTCAGTAGTAACTGTTGCCTACAGTTCATGTGCTCACTACTTTGCAGATAATGCAGTGTATACCACCATCTGCTAAGTACTTGAGCACATTAAATGCTCAGGTCGTGCTCTAAACACTCCACTACTCAGGGGATCGTGGTAATAACTACTAATAAGAGTGCTAAAATGTGCTCTCCTTCCCCCCTAATCCCCCCTTTTTTTGTTTTTAGTACTTTTAACAGAAAACAGGGCCTTATGGTCCCGGCTTCATATCCACTCTGGGAGGCATCAGTCCAGTTCCGATTCCCTCCAACCCCCCCCCCCCAAAAAAAAAAAAAAAAGGTCAAAACACGGAATACAACACACTCCAACGCTTCAGAGTCCCTTTGCGATAGAGGGACCCGAGTCGGCGGCATTGATTACTTCCAATGTGGAAGCATGTGCCTACCCCTCCCACCTGCCTAAGTCAGCCTATTGCTACAAGCTCCTTGCTGCCTGTCCCATCCCTCTGCTAGGCATTTCTTATACCGTGTATGGATGCCATCTCCATCTCCCTCTCATAAAGCCGCTAAAACCCTAAACCCTTGGGGGCCGCCCGCCAGGGTCACAGGCCCAGCACTACACAGCACTGGTCGTCCGGGGTACACCGGAAGGTGAACTGTCTGGTCTGTCAGTGGATCACCTTGTTGCAGCCAGACGGCTGAGCCAGACAGTCGCTTCTTCTTCTTCTTCTTCTTCTTCTTCTTCTCCTTCTTCTTCTCCTTCTTCTTCTCCTTCTTCTTCTCCTCTCCTTCTTCTTCTACTCTCCTTCTTCTTCTTCTTCTACTACTACTACTACTACTACTACTACTACTACTACTACTACTACTGCTGCTGCTGGTGCTGCTGCTGCTGGTGCTGCTTCTGCTTCTTCGCAGTAGATCGCCTGGGGTACACCGGAAGGTGAAATGTCCGGTCTGTCAGTAGATCGCCTTGTTGCAGCCAGGCGGCTGAGCCAGACAGTCTTCTTGTGCTCAGTGTGCTCAGTTTGCTTGACTGCCTGCAGAGTGTGTCCGGTACTTAGCAGAGTATGCTTATAATCCTCAGTACTTAGTGATCCTGCTAAGCATGCTTTATGTGCTCTTATGTGCAGAACTAACGAATTATACTCACTGCTCAGTGTGTTCAGTGTGCTCAGTAGCCCGCAGAGCATGCACGTGACTTACCAAGCACTGCCAGGGCATGCTGAGAATCTTCAGTACTTAGTGGATTCTACTCAGCATGCTTCATGTGCTCGGCAGGCAGAAGAATCTTACTGTCTGTCGAAGTATGGTTTCGCGGTATGATTCTAAGTACGCAGCAGAGTACTATGCTCATCGAACCCTATACTTTGTATTGAAGTATATATATACTCAACATAACACTAAGCACTTGGCAGAGTGTGCTCATTACGCTCAGCATTCGGCGGCCTCTGCTGAGTACTCGAGCAGATTTAATTTATAATTCAGAATCTCTCTTTGAATTCGCTCCCCTATATTCAGTACCGTAACTGCAGATTTTTTCTCTGAGTGAGAACGTGTATACATCTATACGGTCATACACGATAGGGCCCATGGGTTATGTCGTTTTCACATTCTGTGCAAAACGTGCGGAATGTGCAACAGCGGCAATACCACGCCCGGAATGTGCAAAACGTGCGGAATGTATTTTCCACAAAAACGTAGAGAGATACAGCTGCGATGGGTTATGTCGTTTTCACATTCTGTGAGTGGGGTGTGGTGATGCCCATCGTTACATTAACTCGAATCTTGAAATGCTTTCAAGGCAATCATGGATGCTAATGATAGGGACCAAATTGGTGAGATTCTGACAATTCATTGCAGCCCATGCAGCAAGTTTGGAGCTACTCTT